AAAATAAATAAACTGAGATGATGGTGGCTGGCAGTGGAATGTGGGACGCTCGTTTCGTCTCATTTCGGAATCGTCATTTGGATGTGCCTGCATCCTAGAGTTCATGATCACTCAGGGACTCGAACTCAGTACCATACGCTTGAAACTATATCGCAGTCCTAAACATCAATGGAAAGAATCAAACAATCGATACAAAAATAAGTAAAGTTTGAAAGAAGATTATGTACTGATCAATATGTTTTATATGAAATATAAATTTAGAATAGATACTGTTGAAAAGTCTTCAACTAAACTGAAACAATTGATTACTGTTATTTACTACTCAAAAATTGTCCATGTAATAAGAATGAGAAGTTAGATATTAGCACCTTTGAATGCCGGCTCAGTGGTCTAGAGATTAAGTGTTCGCGAGCGAGACAAAAGGTCCTGGGTCCGATTTCTGCATGCGGGGTCGTGAAAGCGCATTGCTGAGGAGTCACATACTGGAACAGAGCGTCCATCCAGTGCTTCTAGATTTTCAGTGCTGGTCTAACATTGATCGGTTCACAATTTTAATAAACTTCAACAATCTCCCCAACCCCAAACTGATAAACGGTAATTTTCTACACATTCTGATGCCTTGATAAATTTAAACAAACCGGAATGAAAAAAACGTGAATTCGTTTTATTTCAAGGCTTCTCATCAGTTGAGAACGGCTTTAATTTACAGTAGCAGTATTATTATACAAATATTTTATCATATACTATAATCAATGAATTTTAATTTAAAAGACATAAGGAACAATTGGAATAAACATCTTATTTAGCAAAACCATATACGAACTACAAAGAAATAAATCCTAATCTGTTGAAAGTACATTCATGGAATACATTTATAACTTATCAAACATAAAGCTGAATAAAATTTCCCTTAGATCTAAATTCAACATTCCTTATAAGAATGTCAACAAGATATATTTACAAAACCAATCTGAAAATCTATGCCACTAAGTTTCTAATTTGAAACCCATAGATGAGGATAAAAGTACTTGGTTTAAAACTAAGCTAGTTGGTATTTCAAATCAATATCTAACTTCTACGTTCCTACATTCGAAGATTTTGATGAAGTAAAATTAGTCACCATTGAAATATCTGCAACAGTATGCTAATACTGCTGTATTAGGACGAGATAAAGGTACAGATGTCATCATAATGGATTAGAATGACTGCACACAGAAGATTCTCAAAAGCCACTTGTAGCTAACGCGAAGCCTCGAAATATAATGAATTCAAGTCATTTTTCTCAATTTACGATTCTTATAATCACGATCATTTCATGTCATATGCTTATTTTGAACAGTAAGGTTGATGATATTTTTAGCGAGATATTTAAAGGTGTAGGATTACTAGTACGAAAGGAGTCTGTTAAACAATTAACAGTTTATGGACATATAATTTTTTGTCATTTCATTGCCTGTAATAGCCACTGTAAAGTGAATGATATGTATATGAAATGAGTGTGCAGAATGAAAAGAGGATTTACATTCACCAATAACATTGTAATTATCACAAAGGAATGTGTCTCAAAAGTCAGAAAACTACTTTGGATTTATTTTTGATACTTAATAAAAGCTTTTATTAATATCAAAGATTATAAAATTCGGTTTAATATTGTTGGAGTTCAACCTTTTAACAACAAAGTATAAATATCAGAAAAGGTTTTTGTTGAGATTTTAGTAATTTACTAATTGAACTCATGGGTCAATTGAAGCTAGACCACCATGGAAAACCTGGAAGCACTCAGCAGCCGTTTCGTCCTAATATGAGACTCATCAGCAGTGCGCATCCAAGATCCAACTAGCGGGGTTCGAACTCAGGACCTATCCGTCTCGCGCGCAAACCCTTAACCTCTAGACCATCCAACGATGTTAATGTCTAATTTCAACCAATTCACGAAATTGCGCCACCATCCACCATTGTCTTTAGTGAGTTACTATCTCACAACAGACCCGGTTGAACTCCACTGGTCACGGCTTCTCACTAAAACTCCAGGAAATACCTCTTGAAGCCAGTCACTAGTAAGCGCATGGTGATTATTATGAGGAGAGGATTTTGTGGAGATTTCAGTAATTTAATAGTTGAATTTATGAGTCTAGTGCTTCTAGGTTATCCATGATGATCTAGCTTCAATTGACTCATGAATTCAACTATTAGACAAAGTATAAATTGAATTTACTTGTAATGGTTGTTTAAATCTTACCGTTGATATTCTGAACTTTAATTGATCAGTCTATTGTTTTGATATATGTGCATCCTGTACGGATCGGTCCACATTTTTAAACAGTTAGATGATGGCTAGCAGTAGAATTCAGGACGCACGTTTCATCCAATCTGAAGATCCAAACACTTCAACATTTCATCTTGTTAAAATTCATTAAAGGAGAAATAACAAAGAGAGAGAAGAATTCAATTACTTACTTATTTACGCCTGTTACTCCCAATGAAGCATAGGCCGCCGATCAACATTCTCCAAGCCACACTGTCCTGGGCCTTCCTTTCTAGTCCTATCCAATTGCTGTTCATCCTTTTCATGTCTGTCTCCGTTTCTCGGCGTAATGTGTTCTTTGATTTTCCTCTTCTCCTCTGGCCTTGAGGATTCCACGTGAGGGTTTGCCTTGTGACGCGGTTGGGTGCTTTCCTCAATGTGTGTTCTATCTCAGTCAATTTAGATAATTAAAATCGATACATTATTGAAAAATTAGCATGTTGTCATGATAGACAGAAGATAAGCAGCCTTTGAAGTAGCAAACTCATCATTTGGTTACAAAGTTATAAGCAAAATGATGAATTAAATTTTCTGTTGCATTCATTAATTTTAGATTATGAGTCGATGATGGATATTCACCTTTTAATATTTTTCAGATACAAGCCTTTAAAGGATGGATACTATGACACATTCATAATATAAGCTGACTAAATTTACTTAACATTAAAAAGAGAAAGAGGAGATTATTAATGTGTCATCCATGAAAATGATTTCTTTTTATTTCATTGATAAATTCTTGACATATCGATTGTACATCAGTGACTTTGAAGGTATAATTCGTTTCATGGAAAGACTTGAAATAACAATGATCTAAGTTAACTAAAAAAAAATCAACAGCGATTAACGCTTTAAAAATTTCTAATTACAAAGTAGAAAAATGATAAAAAGATAAATTCTGTTAAGATAGAGGAATTTGTGGAAATTGTAGAATTTCTAAAGTTCTAATCATGAACAAATCTAAGTTAGATTATCGTCGAAAACCTAAAAGCACCGGAAAGCTGTTTCGTCCTAGTATGCATAATACCGTGAGTTGTTTGAAGTTAGAGATTAGAATCACAAGATGCGGATTCAGTGTTCTAGATGTTAAGCGTTCCCTCACAAAACAGAAGGCCCGGTGTTTGATTCCCAGGTAGGAGGTCTCATATGAGAACCCCTAATTTGTCCCATACCAACGTGAATTTGGTGATAAATTGATGGTAATCTGGCTACAATCAGTTCATGATTTAAACTACGAAAATTCTGTTAATCCTGAGAAACAATTACATGCAATGAGATAACAGATATTTTGACAAGTTGGAAGGAATATGGGGGGGGGACAAAATAAACTTACGCCTGTTACCTATCGCGGATAATGCTCTATTTTCCATTTTAAAAAAAAAGATTTTATATTCACGAAAGAGAGACAAGTAATTTATGAAAAGTCCAACATTTTGTAATTTATTTAATTGCTTTCTTTAAAACAGTTTTTCACCAGATGAAATAAATATGTCATAAAGGTTCATTCGATCCTTGATGAAAGTGTTGATGTTCACTTCTGAAGAGTTCACTATAATGATGCAGCAGCTATTCATTGTCTTCTGGTTTTCACTGGTTGTCTAATCCGTGATTTCGATTAACCTTATCGGTTCAATTAGTGTATTAAATTAGAGTATTCGAAATAATTAACAAACAATTTAAATAATATGAGATTCACGGAAGGTCACTAGTTAAATAAAGGTTAAAACTTGACCTGTGTATTTAAGAAGTGTTAATGGTTAACATTTAGCTGCCTTGGTGATTACAAAATAACACGGTTTGAATGACTAGTGGTTTCCAGTCTTTACTTAATTATGACTGGTATACAGTAAGTTCAAAGCAAACTAAAATTTCACATCTCCTTGTATTATTAACATGTTATATATCTATATATATATATCCCAATATTGAAAAACTGTCAATCCAATGAGTTAAAATTAGTTCTTAAATTCTTTCTCTCAAATAACGTGAAGTTCTTTGATGAATCAATTAATTATTTACAAAGTTTTAAATGTTTTAAACGAATTAAACTTATGGGTCTCTATGAATTTGAAGTGAAACCAATGACGTACAGTGATCAAGGGGATTCTATGAAGATTGGCTTATTTTATATGAGATATTGATCAGAGATTGACCTCATCTAAAGAACCTAGAGGTAATGAGTGCATACGGTTTAGGAATACCTTACTAGAACAATACAACTTGTTACATTTTACGCTTCCTAGTTTTCGGTAGTAACCCAACTGACACCATTCCGATAATCACTACCACCTATAAAATACACTGAACTCAGTATATTCTACAAAACTCTTTATTCTCAGTTTACGAAAATTTATAAAACATCAATCGCACGAAATTACTCATTCAAAGTTGATTACTAAGTTGATATAGTTAAAATTTTGTTTGCATTAAGATAAATAAATTAGATTAACATTTCTTTGTCTAAATAAAATAAAGAAAGGAATTGCTTTTTCTATAACATTTTCTCTTAAACAAAGCAAACTTATTCCTTTTCACTAAATTAAATTATATTTCAAAGTAAATAAATTAACCTTTAAACTTTTAAACAAAGTTAATTGAAAAATATTTCTGTGTGGCAAAAACAAAACAAACAATAGATGATTAATCATTTCATTTAGAAATGATATTTGACCTCAAATTGTATGTTTGTTTTCCGGATTTAACAATCATCATCATCATCATCATCATCATCATCATCATCATCATCATCATCATCATCATCATCATCATCATCATCATCATCATCATCATCATCATCATCATCATCATCATCATCATCATCATCATCATCATCATCATCATCATCATCATCATCATCATCATCATCATCATCATCATCATCATCATCATCATCATCATCATCATCATCATCATCATCATCATCATCATCATCATCATCATCATCATCATCATCATCATCATCATCATCATCATCATCATCATCATCATCATCATCATCATCATCATCATCATCATCATCATCATCATCATCATCATCATCATCATCATCATCATCATCATCATCATCATCATCATCATCATCATCATCATCATCATCATCATCATCATCATCATCATCATCATCATCATCATCATCATCATCATCATCATCATCATCATCATCATCATCATCATCATCATCATCATCATCATCATCATCATCATCATCATCATCATCATCATCATCATCATCATCATCATCATCATCATCATCATCATCATCATCATCATCATCATCATCATCATCATCATCATCATCATCATCATCATCATCATCATCATCATCTCATCATCATCATCATCATCATCATCATCATCATCATCATCATCATCATCATCATCATCATCATCATCATCATCATCATCATCATCATCATCATCATCATCATCATCATCATCATCATCATCATCATCATCATCATCATCATCATCATCATCATCATCATCATCATACACATATTTCTCTTTATTAATTAAAAGAGAAGATGAACTACACATTGTTTAGAATAACTTAAATTGATTTTCTATCATCAGAGCCTCAACAACTCTTTACAACCTATCAAGATCAATATTTTATCTAATCTATTTGTCATGTTTATAGAAGTAAGATTGATTAGAATTTTACTAGATAAATAGTTCAAGTGAACTAATCAATACTGAAACCAGATCAATATATAACTACTCTCTTGTTTTATGATTCAACCGCATATACCACAAGGCAACTAATAAAAAATGTGTTTATTCTACCGTTATATTAATTTTAATATGTAAACATACTAGTATGGTTGAGTACAATATTATAAATACAAATGACTTTTAAAAAAGTTCTAGAATACCGATTAGGGCAGACGAGAAAGACCACAGGGTCAAAATTAATTGATTACGATATGAAGTAATCGAACAAAAGTTAACAACAGTTGTGAATTTCAACCACTTATAAATAAGATTTTGAACTAGAAATGAATGATTTAATGATATAACTAAATGATAGTGAAACAAACACATCGAATTAAGTTACTAAGTTAAAGAAAGTCTGAAAATTGTTTACATATTGAATGTATAATTCAGGTTTTAAGCGTTTAAAACAAATAGCTTCATTCTAGTTGAATACCTTTAGAAATATATTTGTGGAATTTAAGATTGGTTATTTCTTTCTGGTCCACCTATATAACTTTCATGGTAAATTCATATAAATCTTGTATAAACAATTACTGATAATTGAGAAGGTTTTCTGGAGATTTTCAATTGCTTAAGAGAATATGTTATTTTCTTCAAGATAATGTATGTGGTTAAGACATATGTCCTGGATAATCCTGTGTTTAACTGTCTGCAGATTGTCACTAAATTATCATTATCATTTTATTATTTATTTTATTTATTTGAACATATAGATATTGGTACGAAGGGGTACCAGGTACATATGTGCCACATAAATCAAATGAGATTTGTGTGAGGGGTGTGGTACTGCCCACGCGCCCAAATCGAAGCAGGTGGTTTTCTTAGGGGGTCACATCCGAAGCCTTCGACCTAAAGGGCTGACTCACAAGGCAGTGGAGCAACGTAAGGAGATGCAGTCCCATGATAGCCGGTGACCAACGATTGGTTCATACGCCATTTGTTCCCCCACGATACTGGAGCCCATGTGCACCATTGGTTTGGAATCCGGGTTTTTCCAACTCCCCTGGGTGGACTCCGTTATGACCTTGAATCGCCTTTACCCCGTGATACTTGTTATGACTTGGCCTTGGTCTGTCTAGACTAAATTATGACCTTGACGCGTTAGGCTGAGTGGCTTAACCTTGAGTCTAATACGCGTGAGTTCGATCGGGGTAGAGAGAACTATTCTAAATCCTGATTGGTTGGCAAGCACGCAAGTGAAAGAAGACAAGACAGTTGGAACACTAAACTCTGGATTCTCTGAATTCGGATTACTACAAAAATGTACATGAATAAATAAGTGCATATCTTGACCACGACGTACGATAATTTGGAAAAATACAGTTATGCCCGAAACAGGGAATTAGGGTAGAAAATATAGTGCAAAATATAATGTTTAAATTACAATATTTTTGGAACAAAAAAGGGTATGCTAGTGAATGATACATAGAACGAAAGCTCGTGTTATGTAGAATAAGATAGGGACAAAAATAAATATAAGTGTTTTACAGGTTTTGAATGAAATGCAATAACGTCCCAAGAAAATAGCTTTCGTAATTGTCTGGGCTTCTTAATTCCCCTTCATAACACCTTCCCCCTTTAAAAAAGAGAAAAAAAATTATGGTTAGTTACTATATACAGGTAAGTGCTGAGATATCATAATTGATATCTTCCTTCGGAAACGTATGTTCTCCTCTTTGGGTCTACCTGTAGAATATCTGGTCTTCTGCGTTTCCGTGATGCTTTCCTAATAGGACCTTGTTCATGTTGCGCAGTCTTCTGAGTTGCTCGTGTTATGTAGAATAAGATAGGGACAAAAATAATATAAGTGTTTTACAGGTTTTGAATGAAATGCAATAACGTCCCAAGAAAATAGCTTTCGTAATTGTCTGGGCTTCTTAATTCCCCGTTCATAACAGACTCTCTCCCTACTCTCGGCCGTACCAGGGCAGCATCATTACCATCATCATTTCCTTTAAAGTCCAGATCAAGAATTCTTGATTTTTCTGTCAGTTGTGATTACCTTAAACATTTTTTTCAATTTATATCAATAAAATTTTCTGAATAGTCGTTGTTTTCTACATATTTTTCAAATGTTCATCGATTTTCCATATAGTTTATCAGAATACAAATCTCTTTTGTTCTGTAAAATAATGCTACAAATTGTAAGCAATAGATGAAAACATGATAAAATAAAAATGACTTCATTCTATTCTACTTAAATTATTATTATCAGAAGGGGTTTGTTAAGATTTTAGAAATTTCACAGGTTGAAATCATGAGTCAATTGAAACCAGACTACAATGGAAAACCTGGAAGCACTGGACGGCCGTTTTGTCCTAGTACGGGACTCCTCAGCAGTGCGCATCCACGATCCCGCACCCCACGAGATTCAAACCCAGGACCTATCAGTCTCGCGCCAGGCGCTTAATCACTAGACCAGTGAGCCGGTATCCAATGCTGTTAATGTCTAACTCCAACCAATCCACGAAGTTGCGCCACCGTTTTTAGGTTTTCCATGGTGGTCTAGCTTCAATTGACTCATGATTTCAATTTGTTAAATTATTATTCTTATTCTTTTTAGGTTAATTAACACTATTATGTAAAAATAAATCAAAATTGTAGAAGGTTGTCATTTTGAAAAAAAAAAGACGAAAGATCATTGGTTCATTAAAAATGAAAACATTTCAGAGAAGCAAACTTCCTTTACTATGATGTCACTTACCAAATCTTCCCAACCCTCCTCCTTTATCCGGGCTTGGGACCGGCGGTGGTCCTAGAGTGGCTTCAGCCGGAGTTAAAATTATCAGAGACAGTCAAGCTTATTCAGGTGGAAGTCAATAAAAATGAATTGGTGTTGCATAGCAGAGTCAAGATTATCAAAAGATTTTAAGTATTAAGTATAATAATTTATGAATGGAAGAATGTTATTACAATGTAATCCAACTTCTTAAGTATTGAATAAAAAGTGTTGTATAATTTAGCAAAGTAATCAAAACTCATTGAGAGCTTACGTTATGCAATAGTTTTTGGAATTAGTACAAGGTATTAATCTATAACATAAAAAATAAAGATAACTGTCTACTTAATAAAGGAGTAAAGAAAGAGGAAGGTAGTAATTAGCAATCATAATTTGTAAAATTCAAAGACGTGCCAAGACTATGGGTGAATAAAGAATGTTATATAACTTATGTACTCAGAGTTTCGTATTTGAAACGTTGAATTACGATAGCCTGAGCTGTGCGAAAAATTCTTCATCTAAACCCTTTTTGAGCCAGTTCTTTTTGGTTTTTAGATGATTTTGAGTGGAGATTCACGTGGTGGGGTGTTATCTGAATTGACTACGTGTTCCGGAATTGAGCTGTTGTTTTGTTTGTATTGCCCTCTAGACAACTATTCACGGTAGTGCTCGAATATTCGTTTACCACATGCATTATTGTGGTTACTTTCATAATTTTTGTACGCTTAATGTCAAATAATTCAATAAAGTCGTATTGTATGATTTTTACCTAAATCAGTGACATGAAATTAGTTAAATCTGATTCTGAATGTATTCCAAATGATTAATAACCCTATGTAAAATTCATCTAATCTTAATCTATAGGAAAGATCAGCTGATTGTCTTTTATTATTCAAAAGTAAAACTCATGTAATTCTATACATAATATGTAGGACCACAGTACACTGTGTATAATAAATCTCAATAGGTAAAGAACCAGAATATTTGTGATGTATCATTGAGTGATGGTTACTCAATTGATTAATTATAATTTATGAAGAGTAGAATATATTACAGAGATTATTGTGTCGAATGAAAACTTACAATTGGGATAATTATGTAAAATACACTACAAGCTAATTGTTTAATAAATAAATTAAAAAAGCGTACATAAACTATGTCCTTCAAAAACTGCTTTTCACCTCCATAATTCCCTTACATTTATTTTCCTAATGAGCTAAGTTTCTAGATTGATAATTACAAACATTTTAACGCCACACTGATCACTTCATGTGAAAATTCGTTAGACTAATTTAACGAACAAGAAAAAAATCAATTGTTTATTAAGCTAATGTTTATATGAAATTTTCTTACTTTCTAGTAATAAAATTTCATTGATCATCTCACGATGTTCAATGCTAACAAGTGTTGGAGACAGTTGGAAGAAATTTAGGGGTGGCCAACCCAAAATGTGGCATCAATTCTTGAAGTCACTAACTTCTAGTCTGAGCCATGTTGGCAGATGCAGACTACTTGGTTGGTGTCCACGTAACTATTGTAACCAATGGTTGGAAACTCTGTGTGACATGGCTCAGAATCGGTCACAATGGTGTTGGTGTATATACTCTTTGTCTTCCCTTAAACCATGAGATTGAAATTACTTTATACCTCTCTTTCTACCAACTAATTCTTTCTTCCTGTACTATATCCTGATATGCAATCTTTCTTTTATATATCACCACCATTGAATTAAGTACCTTTATGAATTTGGTGTTCATCTTGTTGTGCTAATTGAAGTATGGCAACTTGGACCGATGCATATATGTGCCTGGTCCTACGTTGTAGCTGACTGGCTGACTGACTGATCTTCAATATGATTCGGAATCAGCTATTTATTACTTCATATTTAATTAATAATCATCATAATTTGGTTCAGCATTTCGTACAATAGTATTAAATAGATGAAATAATGTGATATCATATTACCTTTACTGAAACAACTAAAAATGTAACCATACAATATAATTATGGGAGTACTTTACTCATTATATTGGACAATAATGAATTTTGAGTACAACAATGACATTTCTAAATATATTTTATGAATAAACTTATTTATTGAAGTGATTCTTGAAAAAAAAATTTTAATTTTAAAAGACATTTTCATCACAAAGCATTATTGTCTAAAGAACTATTGAGAATTATAGAGTAATGGATAACTATTTTGACCGACTTTGAAACCCTTCAACTATCCATTTGTTATAACTTGTGACCGCCGATTAGAGGGCAGTGAATTATCGGTCGGCCCAAGGATGCGTAAAACACGTGCGAGCAGCCTAGAGTCCTGATTAGCCCTGCTCCCTGCCTAGCCCAGCCATTTAAGTTCAGAACACAAGTCTCAGCCTCTGCAATATGAATCATTATATTTCAAACATATTGAGTTTATAAACCAATCAAACAGACCACAACGTACCAATAAAATAGAAACTAACATTTGTACAAAATCTGGCCAAATGTGGCTGTGAATGAGGGAGGCAGTGACTAATAGACAGGGAATAAGTTAAGAACGGAAAATCGTATAATAACAGTTTATAGGTTAAAATAAGAAAGACATGAATATGAATAGTTT